AAAAAAAAAAAAAAAAAAAATTATGAAACAGGTCAAGGAACGTCGATTGTTAATGGAGCACCAGCTGTAAAAAACGTTGATCCGGACGTTCTAAAGTTGGCTGATATATTTTGCGTTAATGAAACGGAGGTAATTTATACAAGTTAATCTTTGTTGTCTGCATCGGAATAATCTATGAAGATGATTACAGGCAGAAGTTATGACGGATGTAAGGAACTTGACTTTGTCTAATGCACAAGATGCTGTTGATAAATTGATTGCTCTCGGTTGTAACACAGTTTTGATAACGTTTGGTGCTCAAGGAGCAGTGGTTGCTTCTAAAAATAAAAAAAATGCTGTACACATACCAACGATTACTGTAAAGGCTGTAGATACTACTGTGAGTAAAAAAAATAAAAGTACTAGAGAAAATTTTACTTAAAGATGAAAACTTGTGTTTAGGGTGCTGGAGATGCCTTTTTGGGAGCTCTTGCATATTTCTTGGCCTATTATTCCCATCTGCCTTTGGAGGAATGTATCAGGAGGTCAAATAGAATTGCTGCACAAAGTGTCTTAAGAGCGGGAACTCAAACAAGTTTTCCATATAAAAAAGATTTGCCTTTAGAATTATTCTAAAAGATTAATTTTTAAAGTAACAAAAGTTGTAAGGATCTCGTTTTTAAAAAAAGTTTTGGTCAATATTGAAATAAAGTGAACCACAAATAACATAAAAATTATTTGAACTTTTACTTCCAAACCGTTATTTACAGACAATTTTTTTTTCTTCAAGTTTTACTTAGAGACTATAACCATTGTAAATCTTAAAAAAATAAGTCTTCAAGTTTCTTAACGTCAACGAAACTTTAATTCAGTATTTCTAATTTGCAAACTCTGTACTTCCTTGTGCTGGTATTCCTAATAAGGATAATATTTGATTTTTCTTTTATCATGCTCAGTACAGAAGAAAGAATAACATACCCTAAACCTACTCCCTTGGCTTCAGAAAATGAGAATCCACCTTGGGTAATGTACCCAATTACTTCCCTATCACAAGAATGTCTTACACTGGTGCACTTTGGCAAGTACAAGTCTGCCATTGTTTGTGCTTGTTTGTCAATAATAGTTCTGTTATTGTTTACTAACGTTTTCTTTACCAGTTTACGAATTTTATTCAAATGAGCTACTTCTTTACTATGTTTCACTGGTATATTAGCACTTGCAAATGCCATTTTCTTTTTAGCACGAACTCTTTGTCTTCTTAGTCTTCGTAAAAGTGCTTGATGATCTTTTCTCGAATTTCTTCTTTTTTCCTCATTGAGGTCTTTTTTTAGAGACTCCAACGGTCCTGACCACTTTTTGTTTTCTTTGAATTTAGTTAAATCTTCTTGTGTTGGAATACAAATTATTGAAAAATTTTTAGGTGTACCCTTCCTTTCAACTGATACTTTTACGGGCACAAAACAGTTTTTATTCCCCAGAAAATGATCTACATCTGTTAACAACTTACTTTCATCTACTTCCCTTTTGGCAATTTTTCTTTTTCTCTCCAAATCTGAACTCATCTTGGCATTAAGAAGCGAAAGAACTTGCTGATTTCTTAAAATGTAAAAGTCAGGTGAATCATTCCATTCTTTCATCAGTAATTTCCATTCACAAAAATATGGACTAGTTATGCCAAATTTAATAAAGTTAACACGTTTATTGGGAGGAAGTCTAAAATACTTTTCAATTAATTTCATTTTTTCTAATTTGGCTTCCATCTGGTAAGCATCTGTATCTGGATGATTGATAGCTGGTACATTGAGATTTGAGTTTTCATAGGCTATAGCTTTGGATTCTCTCAATCCACCAGCCTTGGCACACCTCAAGATAAGAGACAGCCAAAATGGCATAGACCACCCTGCAGGTAAAACAACATCAACACCAGAACCAAAGCCAATGCTATTGTTGTGTGAATAATCGCCTGGTTTTTGAATAAGAAGTATTGGTATTTTATGCATGACATTTTCACTGAAATGCTGATCGTTCTCAACTCCAGGGACCAAGCTCTGACTCCTTAGTTTATTAATTGCTGATGTTGATATGCAATTCTTTGTGACGTAAGATCTTATGTTGGAATCCCAAAGTGGACTATTATTGGCTAATGTTGGAGGCATTGGACTTTTATCTGCAGGTTGTGAACTTGGTAATGATTTAGTTCTCTTGAGAGGGAGAAAAAATCTAGGATCTAAAACTGTCAAAGCAACAACTATATTTGGAGGTAGTTGATTGGAAGATTTCAAGTTTCTCAATGTATTATATACATCTTTCTGAACTTTAAATGCTTCTAAATTATCCCGAGATTGGTAGTACGTCCTGTACCAAAAATCAATTGATTGTTTGGAATTTGGATGAGTATCGACATCCATAGCACAAGCATCTTCAGGGTAATGGCACTCTTCGAAATTCTCGTCTTCATCTACAAATATTTTATTTTCGTTCAATGAATTCTTTTTGATATCTGGTAATTCAAATGCATCTGTCAAGATACTCAAAGCCAAAGGCCCACAGAGACGAAATCTATTCAAGCAGTTTCTCAATATCAACATTTGACACCCACATGCACTATTATAAGTTGGAATTTTGATAGTAGAAAATATTTTTAAATCTGGAGATGTGGATTCTGAACTACAATTTTTCTTCTCTTGACTACTATCACCCTCCAAATCAGAACTTTTTTTGTTTTTCTCCAATTCAAAGCTAAAATGATTGATTATCTCTTGCAAGACTTCACTGTAAAATGCTGGATGCACCCAAAGCCAAATAAATTTATTACTGAAACCATTGGGACTCCACAGAAAATGTACATACCCAATAGGACTACAGGGGTAACCATCTTTTTTATAAAACATTAGGGTTCCCTCCCTTTCTCCATTGATATAAATTTTGGCCCCAAACGTCAGCTCATTCTGATTGCAATGCCTCTTCAATTTTTCCTTCAAAATGTCAACAGGACCTCTGATCTCGAGGCATGTATAGTAGGATAAATCTTGGATCAAACAGTGTTTAGCGACGGCTCTGTAATTTGCTCTAAAACATCTGTCATTCGAATGATTAGGCAGCTTGAAGCCCCACTTTTCAATCATCTTGAAACGCTTGGCATGCCAGATGTGAGTTTCAAGCCAGAGCTTGTTTCTTTGTCTCCGGTTGTACTCGGAAAGCAAATTTTTGGGTCGTCTGCGATATTTTCTGGATGGTCTTTTGGTCTTGGGTGGCAGGCCAGACTTTGACATCTGACTCAGGTGATAGTTTCTCAATTTTCTAGGCATTCGTTTGGCATTGTGGGACATGACGCGACGACGCATGTGGATAGGCAGCTTTTGAAATATCATCTTTGTCTGCTGTGGATTTTCTGTAAAAGACGTGGAATGAAAAGCAATTTCAGTTCATCGATCACAATGACCCGATAAATAAATTAAAAAAAAGAACATACTCAAAGAGAAAGTCATTGCTGCCATTTCACTGGCTCTTGCAGTGGCGAGTTTCATAATGTGTGCTTCTTTCGGCAACTTTTCAGTACCACCGAGATTCACGTCAAATTGTTGCTTGTCTGACATTTCGATTGATATTTTTTTGCGAGAGGGTAGTAGTTAATTACCCTTAGGGTACTTTAAATTATACTTTTTTTATACAAATAAAACAATGAATCTACTTATTTATAGGAAAGGTTATAATTCACCGCAGTACCGCACCCATGCGTGCTTGCTTGTTTACATCAAGCATTCTGCTTTCTGCTACAGCAGAATATATCGACGCCTCGGGCGAAAACCAGCCCAGTTCAGATTTTTCAATGTTATTTTAAACGGGAAAATCTGAGCTGGGCTGGTTTTCGTCCGAGGCGTCGGTATAGGCTGTATTCCGCATGCTGATACCAGCAGTTAAGTTAAAAAGATCACGGTGTAAGATTATACGTGAAGTTATGTGTAGTAATTATAGTAAGTAATCACTAGGAAGTAGTGCCATATGGTCTGGATTTTATTAAACCATATAAATAGAATATCTATTTGTTTGGAGGTCGATTTTCGGGTAAAAGATAAATTGTACACTTGTCGCAAATAGCCCAGACAATGTCAACTTTTTATTTATTATCCATAAGATTAGTTGCGGCTGGTTTATTATTGATGAAATGGCTCTAGGCTCAAAGCTCTGATTCAGAATTTTAGTTTTAGGTTTTAGGGCTACTTTTTCGTTCAGAAATCCGCAACGCTAGATGGCGCTGATCCAAATAACTACTACTCATATAGTAGAGCCATGTAATTAATTATAAACCAGCCGCAACTAATTTTTTGGATATTTAATAAAAAAGTTAACATTATCCGTGCTATTTGCGGCAAGTGTAAAATTTATTGTACTTTCACCCGAAAATCGACCTCCAAAAGTATAGATATTCTACTTATATGGTTTAATTAATAAAATACAGACCCTATGGCACTATTTAGTAGTGATTACTATAATTATTACACATAACTTCACGTATATCCTACACCGTGCTCTCTTTACCAGAATGATAAAACCATCAGAGGCTGTATTCCGCAAATGCTTCCAGCACAGCTTTTTGTGACAGTATGTAACCTACAAATGATAACGTCGCGCGGCAGAGCCCATCGTAAGTTAGGCAGAAATTTTAATTGCTGACTGAGTTTTCATCTTTTTAATTTATCAAGAATTAAAATAGATGGTGTAAAAAGTATTGTTTTCAAATATTTAACAATAATTTTCATCAGAAAATTTTATATTATCTTTCGTGACTCCCCGTGTTAACTGCTTCAGGGTAGTCCATGTAGTTCTTCGCATAAGCGGCATCCTATAGACATCACAACTTAGAGTACTTGTAGGAGTACGAACAAAAACAAGATCTGAACAATACTCCGTAAGGTAATACATCTTATCGTACGTTTCTGGTGTTACAATTAGTTACTCTATATATACATGGATTGGCAATAGCCATCAACTGAATTATGATTATAATATAAATTATTCAAGTCCGTGAAAGGGAGCGAGAGATGTACGGAAAAGTAAATTTGCTGACCTCTCTCTCTCTTGCTCTCGTAGTTAGTCTTACTTTAAAGTACAACCTATAATTGAAAATACAAAGCGTCAATAACCTGCATACAAGTATATTGTATCTGTGCATACATGTGTAGGTGCGCGCGAGCTTGCAAATGCCTATATATTGTTCGTGCTTGCCAATTGTTGCGGAAAAACGGCGTGTTATGGATAAACGTAAGGAAACTTGCATTAGTAAGTACATAAGTACGTTTCTTTCTTGTTTTTTTTTTTTTTTTTTTTTTTTTTTTTTTTTTTTTCCGTTTAAGTACACATTTAAAGAACTCTGCAATTAAAGGATGAGCCGAGAAAAGAGGCGCATGAGTGGCCGTAAAAAGTCGACGGCTGGCGCGTGCAACATATATGCTTTGGTTGCGGCAACGACGCGCGCCTCGAGCTTCTCGACTAATTGGAGAATCACATCCAGAGGCCCCCTGTACCACCCTGGCTGGTCTGTAAGAAAATTGGGTATGTACATACAACATCATGTTCATCATCATCATCAGTTGCACGCATTTGTCCATCATCATCATCATATATATATATATACTATACATGTACATAAAATACGCTCGGACAGACCAGATGGTGTCCGTGATTGCAGCTGCTGCGAGGAACACCTGCGAAATCACTGCTTCTTTTTTTTTTTACTTCTCTTTTATCTGTCTACCTACACAGCTGAACCATATACAGAACCCACCAGCGTTGCACGCAATTCCAGTTCTCTCTGCGGTGCCAAGACCTACCACCATCATTTTATCTTATCTCGCTCTGACGCAGCGTCGGTAAGGATTACTCGCCAAACCTTTGAAGCGGTTGTTATATTGGCCTCTTCCATGTGTAAGTATATACCCTTTTGCCTTTGGCACGCGGAGGAGTAATCGCTACGTATATACGTGCTTTTACATCTATACGGGTGCGATTGCGTTTTTGCAGAGTTGATGGCTTGATCGCTCTATTGGAAAACATTTTTTTCTCGCTTCTGCAGCTAATGCGCCAAGCAAATTGAAATGCATGCTTATATAGCTGGATAAGCTATAACGCTTCAATTTACCTCTCAAGAGCCATTTGAGATGTATGTCAAATGGTAATGTGTTTTTACGTTGGATAAGAAAGCGCAAAAAACATTCAATTGAAAATTCTCGTTTTTTGGTGGAAAAAAAAACAAACAATCAATGTAAGATTATTATAAATCGATATAATCAAGAATTATGCAAATCGAATCATTCTTGCGTTCCATTCACCGCAAGAGAAAATGGTGAAAATAATGCGTTGCTGTACAACAAAAGAAAACTATAGGGCTGCCACACACCACTGGCTATATAGAGAACAAATGGAAGATTTACAGGCACCAATTAAGCTCTATTACTTACGCTTGTAACTTGTACTTAATTTCACATTGCAATAGTTTACACATATGTATAGTTACTATTAACTATATAGTACTATTAACGGCCGTACATTCGTTGGATCGTTCATCCACCAATAAAATGGTTCTGCAATAAAATGTCGTCTACTCAATACCCTCTCCCCCGTATAAACGTTTATCCGCCTTTTTTTTGCCTAGAAACTCAAATGAAGAGCGCAGCAGCGAGAATTTGCGATTAAACTTGCAAAGCATATAATTAATCCCGGCAACCTGCCAACCCTTATTTTCCGCCCATATCCTTCGAGCTTCGGTTCCACGCGCAACTATTGAAACCGAGATGGATGGATGGTTGCAGAGAGTAAATGGGAAAAGGTTGTCTCTCTCTCTCTCTCTGGTTTTCTCCCCTGACAGGGAGATGGACGCTGCTGAAATCCGCATGGGCCACTCGAAATCCAGCTAACGACCTGTCAAACGTTTCGCTTGCTTGCCCTGGTTATATACTTTTTTTTTCTCTCTCGTCCACTCCCTGCCACGCCGTCGTTGACTCGACGCAAATTCATTGTTTTTTGTTTTTAATATTTCTCCCTTTCTTTTTTCTCCATCCGCCACCCTCGTTTGGCTGTTGTCGATCGAGTGACGACTTTTATTTTTCTTCCAGGCCTGTAGTTGGTTGACGAGGCCCTCAGCGAGACGTATCCTTTTAAAATCCTACTCGCGTCAAATTTCAACGCGGGAATTCTAAAAACATCTTTTTCTCTCTCGAAAATTATCGCTCGACGCGACACAACACTTATGTATGCGTTATATCCAAAACCCGGAGAGGACAATACCGCAGTTGTCATACAATTTTCGCTTACTCTCAAAATAAAGCCATACCGTATATTATACCAATTCGCGATGCATAATTTATGTTAATTCAAATGGAATTCTTTTTTTTTTTTTTTTTTCTTTCCATACAATAAATGTATGTATCATTACGATGATATAATAATTCATTCCAGTGAACCTCACGTATGGATGCCCAAATACGTAAGCTCATTTGGATTATAATAATGATCGGCGCGTCCTCATGAATAATACAGACTGAAATATCAAAATTCATCATGCGCGCACTAACAGAGCTATATCGCATGATTACGTTCCATCTAAAAGACACGTTATATGTATACAGCGTCACCGAAAGGTATATGTACGAAGCAAACGAAAGTGCACAATGGTCCATAGTAATAAGTTTAAAAAAAAAGAAGGAAAAATATAATTACTTCAGTTTGGGTGCAAATACTCGCTAAACAGTAAGACAGCAATAAGAGAGACTGTATTTCGCTCGGATTGGCGAGGAACAAAGGAGCCGAGGGAGGAACAAAGGGGGAGGAGGCATCGGAGTCGCGTCGTATACAACACAATACACACGCCCCCGATCGTTCGATCGACTTGAGAAAACTGTTTCGCAATTGTTGATTACAACAGTCAAATGGAGTCAAAAATCGGTGTCCCACATAACTTTAAAAACATATACCCCAACGATCCAACAAGATAGCTTGTACAACTATTTACGGTTTCCTACTGGGTTTTCTTATTGTATTATTCATTTGTTATATCTTTAAGGAGAAACTTTATTTTTTTTTGTCGTTCCTTTCAGTGGAGAAGCCAAGAAAACCAAGAAACACAAATGCAATTAATTTGCGTCCCTTGACAAATTGAATCCCTTGGGACTCTTTGTTTCGGAGTGACGCTGAAATAAATAAATAAACCAAAACCCATCCACACACACACCGACCCCGGGATCAACCGGGTCTGTTGTTTTTCAATTTGGTCAAACGATACGACGATTTCAGATCGGCTCTATATAGCAACGACGTTGCCTCCGGCGGTGAATTAATTTTACTCGGTCGCGCGTGCGAGAATAACAATGAAAAATTTGATTGTCCCGTTGTTGCCAATTATCGCGCTGTGGGGAAAAAAAATAACGCCCGGCGGGACGCGCAACTCTCGGCCTTTGGGGCCATAATGCCGTTACATTTTTGCCGGTAAATACTCAATCGAATCCGCCTGATCGGACAAACAACCGAACACGAGCTTTGAACAAATATTGTTTTTCATTTCCGATTCGCCGGGATATTTTTCAGCGCTTTTTCCCCTCCCTCCCTCCCTCCCTAGCATCGATTTCTCATTATAACTTTCCTCTGTATACTCTTTGCGCGAAAAGTTACGCACTGCGCGAACTCTCTCTCTCTCTCTCTGTAATGCAAAGTAAGCGAAATCCCAACAACCGCGACTTTCACTAAATTATA